CAAAGAGTGGTCAGATTTCCCTGCTGAAAGCAAAGTGGGTGTGGTCGAGCTTCGAATAAAAAGTTTCGAAAGTGGTCCAGTAGGCAAAGCCTCCGAAAATTTTGATAATTTAGGGGTTTCAAATGCTTATTTAATCGATTTTAGAATCTACTAATATGTAGAAAATACACATAATTTTCTTTTTCTCCCTGACGAATTGAGCTTCTTCTCCCCGCCGGGGGGCAGGCAGCTCTCCCCTACGGGGCCCTGGCCCCCCGGCCCCCTGCTGGCGCCACCCCTGTTTTTATTTTGTGGTATATCCAATTTATAATCCAGCACAAATTTAGGGACCCCTTTTAGCCTCATTCAGATGAAAATTTGTCGAGCAAGGGTTATTTTGTACTCTTTTGTTATGTATCTATTCCGTTAAACTTAGTTTCATGTGTATCCAGCCTGCAATTTTTTGATCTGGCCAATTTTGTGCCCCTTATTTGGTTCTCCAGAGGGACAGTGCCGGATTAAGCATCGTCTGGCCTCAAGGCACATTTTGGAAATGGCCCAAAAATGTTAATTGAATGGACCCTATGGTAATAATACTCTGCCACAACTCTAACAGTAGAATGTCTCCGAGTTTTCTGGCCTAATAATACCGGAAAATAGAGTGTAAATAATATTGCAGTCCAACTTTTGATGGCCCATCATTTTCGCCTGGCCCACAAGGCTTGTGCTATATTTGCCTAATGGTTAATCCGGCACTGCAGAGGGACCATGTAGAAGGGAATCCCCGGAAGACATTCATATACTGAGATGTTACGTAATACATGTCCTATACTCAGATTGGTAGGGTAACTTTGTTCGATTGACCAAAATGCTCTGGTTGCCGCTCTTATTTGTTTTAACACTATCGTTTTGTAGGACCTTAACAACAACATCGAAGGGGAGAAGCGCCATTGTATTGCTTCTTAGCTTAACTGTCGTAACAATCGGAAAACCCTAAAAATAAATTTCACTGTTGTTTTTTCCCCCAGTTATTACTGTATATGTCTTTACCTGTTTGTCGTGTTGGTAATTGATTACTATGATGGTGTGGACTGCATGCAAGATAAACTGAAAGGACGCCACATCTCCCTAGCTAGGCCTCCTATTGCCTGTTGTTGTTTTTGTCTTCCTAGAATTGAAATGACAAGGTACTGCAGAATATATAACATTTAATCATCATAGATATTTGTTGTATATTTGGTCTATCATAATTTTTTACAAAAGTATAGTACAACGTTAATTAAATATTATTAATACAATGTGTTTATTTAGATTATTACAGTATTATCGTCATCATCATCGTCATCGTCAACATTGTCGTCGTCATTATCTTCATCATCATCGATGTCATCACCATCTTCTTTATTATCACCATCTTTATAACAGGCCTATAGTCATCATCATCATCAACAACTAAAGAAATTTTCTGTGGTACCAAATTAACAAACCTGCTAAAGTCCATGGAAATCCCGGTCCCAACACGGTCTTATTGGAAGAAGACCTGTAATACTTATTATTATTATTATTATTATTATTATTATTATTATTATTATTATTATTATTATTATTGCTTATTGTCATTGATACCCATATTTTGAAATGTGTATCTTATGTCTCTTGTAAATTTTACAGAAATAATTTTCATAATCTTCGTCTTGGAATTCTTCAAAATGCTATTGTGCGTCCGGCATCTCTTTTCATTGCTGCTACTCTTTGGGCAGATGGCACAACTAAAGCCGTAAGATAACAACTATTTATAACATTTTGCTCTCAGTGTATAGAGAAGGGTGTTTGAATGTGTGTATTGTGCCGGTGAAAGGACCATTCCACTAAGTCTCGCCCATTGGATAATGTTGCTAAGGTCATGTATGTGTTGTGTGGGACATGCTCATCATATTCATTGGCATGATTGCTCAGTTAAGGTTGCTTAAGTGACCTCCTCCGACTAGAAAGGTAATTATCAAAATAATTTATGTGCGGATTAATGTCTGCATTGTGTGTATCTGTATTACATCTACAGCTGTCTCTTATACACATCTAGATGTGTATAAGAGACAGCATCGACAGTAGGCCTATATGAAATTGGTTCTTACTCATTAATAAAATTCATCATCATCACCATAATCCCTGTCTCTTATACACATCTTACATTTCTTTAAAAAAAAAACCAAAAAAAAAACACCCAGAAATGATTTTAAATGAGTAAAAAGTCATCATACAGTGTATTATGCATTACAATACTGTATACGAAACACTTATTTTTCATTCAATTGAATTAGTATTTAAAACACACCTTAATATTCGGAAATTTATCACAAAATGTTTTGTAATTATCATTATCCTTTTAAACTTGTTTTCATCGTCCTCACCGTATGTGCATGGCATGTGATTACTGATTGATTGACGGATTAACAATGTTTGTTTCTTTTTGACTAGGTTGAAGCCTACTTATATATTAATGCAATTACTATGATCTCATCGGTATTTGCTGTATATTCGTTAGCCGTCATCTACAATGCTTCGAAGATACCACTTAAAGACTTTATGATCACTCCAAAGTTTATAGCTATGAAGTTGGTGATGCTGGTCGGCAACACGCAACATTTTATCCTTAGCCTCCTTGCATATATCGAGGTGATACTACCATGTAACCCTCCACTAAATACACAGACACGGGCAAACAGTAAGTTTAACTTCTAAAATATGATATAAAGTTCCCTCGTTAAATGTCAGTAAAATTGAATACATCGTTTAATATGGCATGGAGAAAATGGTTAAACTCGGTTATCTATTGTTTAAAGTACTGTCGTTAGAAACTGTTTTTAAATATACATTTTTTTGACCCGGAATACAATCACTATTATAAAATACCGGTAAATGTTTTCAAATGAAAATGGAACAATAATTAACCGGTTAAAAAATAGGCTCCCAGTGGAAGCGTGTGTCTACTGCTTGGCATGTTTTTTTTAAAACGAATTATTCATATAGGCTAATTCAAAATGTTAGGCCTACTCGTACAATGAAAAAAAAAAATAGAAATATGCAAAAATTGCAAAGTCAGTTTATCTAACAACATTTATTTCTCAATTTAAATTGCAGCAATTTACAATATGCTTATCACATATGAGACGTTTATAATGCTTCTCCTCGGAAGAATATTTATATATATCTGGCGAGAGAAACAACAAAGTAGTTCAGAAAGTCTTGATAGAATGACAGAGGCCGTTGCTATAACTGAAACAAAAACATGTTGCAACCAAAAAGTTGGACTTTCAAAAAGTCAAGAAAACTGTGCTATGATAGAAATTCCACCTGAAGAAACGCCGGAGAATAAACTAGGTTGTTAAGTTTTGCCCACACCATCAAATTTTATGTGACAAATAACAATGATGTGCCCACCATTTTATTGTATCAATGCGTGGGGCTTCAATGCATCTAGGCCTAGTGGAGGCGCTAGCAGTTAGTCCGGGGTGGGGTGTCACAGGATGAATCCCCGTCGAAGAAGAAGCAGCCATTTCGTCGGAGAACACAGCTTTGAAGTATTTTCGGGCATCTGTCTTAAAATTTGGTCCAATGTCGGGTCTGACTTCTGTTACTTGCCGAAATTTACGAATTTGGTTTAATGATTTGATGCTACAAATTCCTACATTTATCTGTAACTAGCCGAATTATTCGACTTTTGTTAAATGATTTCAGCATTTCATATTCAGCAGGCATGTGATGGTTGGTAGTGTAGTTCAATGTCCTATTGTCGTAATAATGGTGTTTTAATGGTTCTCCGTTCGGCAACTTATAAAATGGATAGAAGCCGTATAGGGAAACACGTCTGCATATTGATGCTGCGGCCGTATACATGATCAACCCTAGCGAAGGATTTTTTATTTTCCAAAATCTGAAAAAAAAAACACACAACGCAAACTGATTTATAGGCGTATTATAAACTTACTAAAATAATAATACTGAAAGGGCCTCTTCATTATTAATAATAAAACACAAAATAAACTAATTAGTATATCACTACCACCATCCCTATCCTCCGCCTACTTCACCTCATCATCATAATCATCATCATCTTCATTATCCTCATCATTATCTACATCAGCTTCATAATCATCATCATCACCATAATCCTCATTATCTACATCCTCACCACTAATATAATAATAATCATTGTTATTATTACTGTATTATTATTGTTGTTATCATTATTGTTATTATTATTATTATTATTTATTATTATTATTATTATTTATTATTATTATTATTATTATTTCTTTGCATCATAAACTGATCATAACATTAACTTATATTTTGTAATCACGGAGAAATAAAATAGATTATTAACATAGGCCACGGTGTTTTACCTTGTAATTGGTGAAAGTAAATTTCTATATGGATATACAATTTTAACTCGTAGATTATTTTTCTTGATACCTGCTACGAGATCGTGTGCATAACTTATATTTTTCGACACATCGAGTTTTGAAATCCATATATATGTATCATTAAGTTCATCAAATGTCTTGTAAATGGCTTCATGACACGAAGCCGACAAATTTGTAAGGCATTTGCTGCTTTGGACAGAGGAAGCGCCATTAAGAACCATCAGATCTGTTTTCGTTCCAACGTCTTCTTCAAAGTCAATAGTTTTTGCAAGATTACCACGAAAAACAAAGTCGTGTCCATCTATATCGCATCCACATCTACTATTTTGCAATATTCCTGCACTGCCTACAACTGCGCATGTCCCCTGCAGCGGTATACTGTTCGTGCCATCGGGTCTTCTCTTCATGCTTTGGTTTTGTTTGAAACCATCATTGTAAGTTAGTGTTATCAAATAAGGAGTAATTCCGGCTTTCAATAGATTTTGCCTAAGTAAATATACGTAAAATAACATTTGGTTATTTGTTTTGGTTTTTGTACTATTAATACACGGTATACATCCCTGTTTCAAAAAATATATTATCATTTTATCTTCATTATACAGTGTAGGCTTAATCATCGTCATAATCATTATTACTTCATCTTCGTCATTTCCATCATCACTATCATAATCATCCTCATCATCATCATGTTCTTCATCATTTTTATTTTCATTATTAGCAGCATCATCTTCATTGTCACTGTAACCATCGCCACTTCATTGTACTGCCCAATCACCACCAGACCCCACTGGAAATAAGTGGGCTATCCTTGGTGTTTACACCGAATAAATCCAATCCAATCCAATTGTAGTCTATCATACTCCTCATTATCCACATTATACCACCACGGCACCACATCACCATTATCACCATGCACCATAACCGTAACCATCGCCACCACAATCAATACCACTATCCCTAGTATCACTATCACAAATTTCTAAAATAAGCCAAATTATAAAAACAACTGATGTGCTTGATATCAGCAGTAATCACCAAAATCTTCACAAATAAGTTCCTTTCTGAGTTAGTTTAATGCTTATACCTTATACCAAATGCTTTGTCTTCATCAATGTATTCAGCCAGCCGACGCTTTACCATTGATGCTCTCAAGTCATCAGCGTCTAATGGTGGATATGCAGCCTCAATCCTAAATTTAAATGCGCAAATAAAATAATGAATTAAAATACTATTACGAATGCCACTACAAGAATTATTAGCCTACAAAAATATTACTGTTCCCAAGCACAGCAATATTTTGCCTATGATATTTATTTATTTAATATATTTTTGTATTGCATCAAATAGACCGTATAAGATACCAATTACCGTACAGAATGTAAATATATTTAAATATGATTTGAAAATACAACATATAAAAATATTTACAATGTTAAACAACAATTTTATAAAATTTCGTCTGTTTTTTTTTTTATTATTAACATTTTGTCTCAGTGGTTTTTGTAAGTGATGATGTGGACTACGGTCTGAAATAAAAGTGAAGTATAAAAGTAATATTAAGTAAAATAACAATGGATACCAATAATGACAATTTAAAAAAAAGGCAAAACATTCGTTTTAGTAAATAAATGAGGTCTAACGTAAATCGATTCCATTCATTAAAGCAACTACCCGACGTATCAGGCCATCGGCCCATGAAACCATAAATGTAACAACAATTTTTGGGAGGTAAAAAAAAGAAAGTAAAAGAAAAAAAATGATAGCTCAGAACACATCAAATGTTATTTTCGGGCGTATAGAACACAAAACTTTTGTGGGGCATGTCCCCGGACCCAGTAGGACAGTGTTGCCCAACTTTCGCCCCCCCCCCACCCTTTGGACATCACTGGATCCGCCCCTGGCCCCAATGAAAA